AAGATTATTATTATACCAACCTTTTTTTAATTAGTAATCCAGCAGAAACTTGTTTATAAAAAAATAATAAAGGAATATATGGATTTACTTTAATAGCTAACGTGTATCAACATATTTATTTCAGCATACATCCAATCCATATTTATACTAATTTTATAAAATGTCCGGAATACATTTTGCCTTAACTTGGCGTTAAATTATTATTTTTATTTCATTAATTTTTGTATAGATCAGGTTAATAATAAAAGCAATTGGATTTTACTCAATATTTTTGAAGTAATTATTCAGCTTTAATAAAATTGATAAAATCATATAAGACAGTTAAAAAATATATTTAAAGCTTTGTTCACTTTTTGAAAATCCGTAAAAAAGCAAGTATCAAGTTTACATATCTTTAAAAGAAATTTATTTACATGATATATAGTTAAATATGTAACAAAAATATTTTAAAACAGAGGCATATATAAAACACATTTTTCTTAAAAAAACTAAGTTGAAGCCACCATTTACAGCACCGAGGAGCCAAGCATAGCCTATTGTAAAGAAAACCATATCAAATAATTTAAAATATTTATTACCGATAGGGACGACAATTAAACATATTTAGAAAGCTACGTGATTCCATATTAGTAGGATTGTTATAGAAAAGTATATTAAAAAAGTATATTTAAAAAAAAGTGTATTAAATAGAAAACAGATTTTTAAAAACTACCTAATTTTGTTAGCATTTTGCCAATGGTGTTCAATTTTGAAACCAATATCTTGAATTGGAAAGCCGACTTGTTTAACTAATCTCATTCAAAGAATAAAATTATTGACACTTAAAGAAAAAGAAAAAATGAATGAGATATAAACAATCGTACTATAGTATTATATAGGTAAGTAGATATATATGAAAAAAAAACAACAACTGGAAAACAGTATACCTGCTTTTGGTAACCTATTGTGATACTGCAGCAGTTGCTGTAGGGATGCAGCTGTTCTTTTTGGTGTTGTTCAAAAACGTAATTTTTATGTTGGCTTTTAGTAAATTTAAAAGACATCACAACGGATTTAAAATACTCATAATAAAAAAAGCAAAACATAAAATGCTTCAAGGAGCCAAACTATAAACATAAAAGATGAAGAATGGAATCGAGATAAATAAATTGTATTTATATAGCTAAATATATTGCCTTGGGTTTTGGTAAATTTTAAAAGCAGTGAGTTCAATAAATGAAACATACCAAATAATTTTTAACAAAAGAATTCAGCATCATTATATTATGATAATTAGATAATGAATCAATTCAACTTTCGACTTTAGATTTTAGGGAGGGGTATTTAAGAGGGCTTTAAATTTGAAGTCAGGTTTAATTGGTGAGAAAACAATTAAAATTTTCATTAAAAAAGATCAAAACAAATCAAATATACAACGTAATATATATTAAAAAAAAAAAATTACAAAATTAAAAGGAAAAACACCAAAACAAAAA